CCTCAGCAAAATACACTAAAGGTACCGGCATCCCTGTCACTCCTAACGCCAACTAAACCGGGTTCCTTGTCCAGCGTTAACTCGGTGTCAGATATTACTTTTGAGGAGGACAAGGAGAGCAGTAGCTCTGATAGGCTGAGCAGTGACACAAACAGTGAGGAAAGCCTCAGTCAAGAAGGAGAGCAGCAAATGAATGAGAAAGGCGAGAAACAGGAGGTCGAGACCAGTGAGGTAAGCGCCATATGGGACGCCACGCCCGATGACAAGGCGACAGTAGATGGTACAGTACATGTAGCGACCGATGGTGTGGGTGGAAGATGCGCTAGTAAAAAGGAGAGGGTTATAATGATATCAGCATTTCTTACTGGGATTGAACAAGAGAGTTATGTATTGAGAACAGAGTCACCCTCTTTTCTCCAAAGTGGTACCCCCACTCAGGTCAGTGCCATTCATGAAAGCCAAACGTGCGCTCCTTTGTCGGCAGAAAATACTAGTAAGGAGGAGGAAGGGAAAGATGGGAACGAAGAGGTGATACTAACGAGAGATGAAATCATGGAAAAGACGTCCGACTTAGTTGACACCGAAATCACCTGTGCGTATTCAACTTGTCAAGTCACTCCTGCTTTGAGTCACAGCTCAGCGTCTACGAGGCCCCTTACTTTGTCGGTAGTCCTAGAACTACCCAAAGATGAGGAAGAAGAAGAGGAGAATGTGGCTGATGAGGTACGAATGGGCAGTCTTGAAAATCTTGCGTCCACTTCCTTCGAACTCACAACCATCGGTGCATTTAAGCTGAGTGACGGTTCACCCATTCAAATCATGCTCTCTGGAGGAAGTGTGATCAAACACAATCAAACTCTGTTAGAAATGCAAAGATATCTGTTGCATGAAAAGGCGAGCACATTTTCAGCTAGCGACACTATCAAGAAGTATCTGGAAAACACGGGAATCTCCAAATTTACGGTGCAGACTCTTTCTAATCACGAGGAGGAAGAAAGAAGAGGAAGTGGAGAAACGGTGCAAAGATCTGACTCGCAGGTACGGGCCGCGAGTGCGATGTCGCCAATAGAAAGTGAGGTCAGCACAAGGAGGGAATCGAGAAAAACGTGCACTTTTAGGGTCAGTGAAGGGGCTCCACTCATGCTCAAACAGCTGCGTCAAAGTCAATGTAAACGGCGGAAGATTATGTGGGAAAAGCATAGACGCTATGTCCGGGAGGAGGCGGGATCTTTTCTTGAAGGATGGTATGCCAGTACTTCCTCACCTTTTGTTTACCTTAACTTAATAGAATTGGAGTTAACATTACCTTTGCTTTGCTTATCCAGCCGATGTCGACCAATTGTACTGGTGGACGACGAAGCAGACTGCAGCGCCATTGTGCATATGATTGGAAAGACAACGGAGTCCACGGTGGGCTACTTCTCTCTGCGTCAGGACGCACCACCGCCGGTAACAACAATCTGTCACAGTTGCTTTAAGCGTAGACAAATTGTGTGGAGTAAGTATCGACGTCAACTATCTGAGGAGGCTGAGACATTTTTGACCGAAAAGCTGACTCACCGAGACGATAAACAGTCAATGAGTCTGGTTAGCCTTCCTCATCTCCTCCCTTCTCTTAACGCCCCAGCTTCCGTCGAATCGATCGACATCGGTCCAGCACGCATCCTCATTACTTCCAACCGGCGCGAGGATGGTGGCGTGGTAGCTCACATTGTCACCGAGTTTCCTCTCAATCCAGTGCCTTCCGATAATTCCAAGAACCTTCAGTTCGTCTTTGACGTTGCTATGCCCGAAGAACCTATTTAATTGTATTTCACTTGACTTAAAATGGGTAAATGATTTAATTATGTGACCATTTATTGAACAGTACTGCTTGTCTTATCCACTGGTGTGTCATTGGCACTCTTTGGTTTTCTTATTACTAAATGATTTGTGTACTTAAAAGCATTTTTTCTCCAAGCTAGATGTCTTCTCTCATATTACACCTCTGTCGTGATTCCTCCAGAGGTACTCTGAATTTGTCTTCTCTTAGTACTGCCTTAACTCCAAAGGAAGGCTAGATTTTGCCCGATGGTCAACGAAACGCACTTGTGCCAATGCGTGTCCCAAAGGCTCACACATACAAATTCATTTTATAAACAGGCAGGAATGTACCGGAATAGTGACGCTAAATTAGGTTGTTAAAGCCATGTCAGGCAAGGACTTAGACGTCAGTACCTATGCACGTGCAATTTTTAGTTACCATGACTATGCACTACTTTCAGAGGCACGTAGCACAATCGATGCTGTGGCATCGTACTGTTGGTCAGGCAGCCAATGAGAGATCCGCGACCTTGAGAATTGCACATTCGCTCTGGCATGAGGGCAGAAGGTGTTGGACCTAGGGCGGTTTCACTTGCACCGTGCTTCAAAATAAGATAGTAGGCATGACACACCTTGGCACCAATCGGGACTGGACACAAGAGAAAGAAAATGCTCGAAGATGGGGGCGAGGGAAGGGTCAGAAACATGCCATCCATTAAGTTGCACACAAGCGTTCGGAAGCAAAGTTTGTTAAGACAGTCCATCTGTTATGCTTTAAGGAATTTTCGGAAATGTCGCAGAGGATTAAGAGGATTAAGAGAAAACACCTGACTGTAGGCATTTGTCGTGTTTTAAAGGAAACCTTGCGTTGTAGAATGTTGGGGAGGCAGTGGTGAACTCCTGATTTAGCAACCATTAATGAGAATTTTTTGGCAGTTGTTGCTACCTTGGGTCATGTTTATATAGACCTGGTAAGTTTTAAGCCAATTTGTAGGTAGACACGCCTAACGAAACCTAGCTTCACTAAAGTGATTAATTTAACCACACTTAGGGCTCCGGAAAGCTGGAAATGGTGTTCGTTA